TGGCACACACGTTGTGTGTGTGCCCAAAATCTTTGTATAATGTGCTATGATTTTGTAATATTGCATAGCGTAGTACTTTACGAGAAGTTTAGACATTGTTTTACAAAAATTGAAGTGATCAAAAGTATTTAATCATGTTCAAAAGTATTTGCAGAGCTGGTTAGTAGTTTTAAACAGGGGTTTAGATTCATTTAATGGGTTTCTTTTTTCTTTGGTTTTGCTCTTTGTGATTGAAAGTTCCAATCTTTGCTTTTACCTGTGAATTTATGTTCTAACACTGAAACTCCAACCTTTAATAATAGAACATAACATCAAGTATTCATAGAAAAGTCTGAATTTATAGTGTAAACATAGTGTAAGGGTCCATTTGGTACAAGGAATTGATGGGATTGGAATTGAATTGAATTTAAAATTCCATGGGATTCAATTCCATAGAAATTGAATTCACCAATTCCAATTCATTTTTTGCACTACCAATTACAAATCCACATAATTTTTGTGCTACCAAACATGAGAATTGGAATTGAAGTCATCAATTCCAATTCCATAATTTGAATTCCGTATACCAAACGGGGCCTAAACCATTTGCCTCAGAATTGACTTCAAAAGAATTGAGAATCATATGCCTATACACAACTTAGAAAAGTCAAAGGAATTTATAATCATCAAAAGTACAGAAGTGTAGACTTCTATATGTCTAACACAGAAATCAGAATGGATACATAAGCAATAGAATCAAAGCAAGCACCACACTTCATGACTCCACAAACCAATCGTGTCCACATAGACCCAACTCCCCCACACGCATCTGCTGCACTAAGCAGTGTAACTGAATCAAAACCCTCCAAACCTTCACATGGCATACCGTTACATACATAACAAGAATCGATCGAGCACCATGACAAAAATGTGTGACCTCTGGTAATTAACTTTAAAAAGAGCACTTGCCAAATTTTAATATGAGAACGTGACACGTGAGGTCACGAATAGAACAACACTTGGTTAAGACTCGAGAAAAAGGCCGTCAAAATGAACCCAATTAATAGTACCCAATGTGCATGCAGCAAAGAAAGTCCAATAGAACACAAGTACTCATCACAAGAAATGAAACCATTTGAATGTGTAGAAAATTTGCCAACAGAGTGCATTCAAAATCTGGACATGAAAGCAAGCGTAAAAAATGCACATTCCGGCTATGTTGCATTTTAAGAAATTGAGCCATACATTATAAAGCACTTGTTCACAACCAAAAGCACTTGTTCACAACCAAGACAAGCTCAACTTATATGAAAAGACATTGTTTTAATGACGCTTTTTATGTGAAAGAATTGAAACAGGTCATTTTTTGGCCAAATACAATTACATGAGGACTTGAGAACAAACTCAAATGATATATACGTGCAGAATGAGTGTGAACTTGACACAACCACCAAATATTCATGAGGTCAACCAAAAATAAATATAGATTAAAAGTATGGAATAAATGTCAAATTAATCACTCGTGTGGCTTATATAGGTTCAAATATCATGCTTATGGCACAAGTTCTACACTACTTTCATTTAGACACCCATACTACTTTGGCAAAGATTATGAGCACCGTTTAAAAAATACTTATTTTTAGCACAGTTTTTAGAATAAGATGGTATCATTTTGGGAATATGTGATAAATGGAACAAGGGGCCTAGGCTAAGTCTACATCCTATGTAATCATATGGAGTAAGAATCCGTAGAGGAATTAGAGTAAGAAAGCATACGTTTAAATAATAGCTGCATACCTAATTTAGACACTTGACTAATCATATACAGAGGAAAAATTCATCAAGAAATCAGTTTATTACCCAAAAAAGTGCAAAATAGAGTTTTTAAAATTGAAATGGAGAAGGAATAAAGATCCTGTGTGCATGCAGTACTAAGATGGGGCAAATTATAATTTGTGGAGATTTCAATAAATCAATCACCCCTCTTTTACTAATTCTCTCTTAAATTAGAATTAGTGTACAAAAAATTGGCCGAATTTCGAATAGGACTGAATCATAAAATCTTCGAACCTATGGAAAAGGATGAATTTTAACTGGATTTCCAATTTGTCAAACCGAAAGAGCCGCGAATTTGAAGTATCAAAAATTGGAATTAAAGAATCGAAGAAGGACCTGCGGAGTCATCGGGAGTAAGAAGTAAGGAGAACCTGCAAAATACCTGCGAATTGAAGAGGAAAAGCGTCTCGGATGAGGAAAGTGAAGGAGAAAAATGATTTTGGCGAGATGGGAAGCGGCTGAGATAGTGGGGCGGTGAGCGGCAAGAATGGCCAATAACAATCATCCACGTAATAATTAGAAAAAGTAAGAGACGGAGACTAAGCGGAAAAGTTAACGGAAATCAGTCGAAGGTAACACCCTTACGCTCTGACGGGGAAATGGGCAATTTGACGGAACAGTTACGGAAAAAGGACCAATTTCACGGAGGGAAACGTTGTTGGGCCTTATAATATTAAGAGGGGATTCATTTGGACACCTATAATGATTTAATGATTCCTTATACTTGAAAATACGGAGTAACTTTTAAGGTTTCTAATCCTTCTTAAACCCATTGTGCCCTTCTACTTACTCCAACCCCCGCATCTCTCCCTTTCCATTGTTTCACCCATTTGTTACTAATAGAATAGAATCTTACTATTATTTTATTTTCTCATTCTTGTATTTAAATATTTCTCTTCTTATTTTTTTAGGATTATCTAGCATGTACTATAAATACTCCTTGAAAGTTCTTTAGTCAATTAGATCAATATTTTATCAAATTGTATCATTTACAGTGAGTTTGGATGAATGCGTGGGTGGAGATTAAGAGAAACTAGAGGGGTTCAATCCAATTCCAAATCCGATGAAATACCATAGATGCTCCAAATAAGAGTAATGTAACGATTTATAATTTAATGTCAAGTCTAACCCACGGCTCATTTAAGAGCATGGGCAATGGCAAGTAAGAAATGGAATGCCACACGATGACGTGGAGTATTTTAGCCAATCAAAATCTGTCCAGTCAGCGTGTGTTACATGAGTGGAGTGGCATGTCTTACAGTGGCAAGTCATCATTTTTATCATTTTTATACCTTTTAAATATATTTTAATTTCACAAATTATTTTACTTACCTTATTTTAATAAAAAAAATTGTAATCCTTTTTGGCAATGTTAACATTTTTGACATATTTTAATTAGCCCATGCGTGCTTTTTTATTATAAATTATTACATTTTCTTGTAAAGATTTAATTGTACAAAGAGAAAATTAAATATTAAAATTTTTTAATTTAAATTATATAATTTCACATAAAACATTAATGTTTAAAAATGTATATTTTTTAGTCTCAAATAAAGGTTTGACTGTTTTGAAAAAGAAAATAAATTGTAAAGAAAAAAAGCAAGGGTTAAAAATGGAAAACATTGCCTCTAATCTCAATAAAATAAAAAAGGGATATGCTAGGGTACACCTTTGGTGTACCCTAAATGTACACCACCCCTCTTTTTACCATTCATTTTATTTTATTTTATTTTTAATTTTTTTTTTTAAATTTTTCTTGCTTTTTTTTGTGGTGATGGAGGGGGTGGGGATGTTTGGGGTACACTTTTGGTGTACCCCTAGCATTTTCCAATAAAAAAACTTCTTTCTTTTACCAAAACAAAAAAAAACAAAACATAAGAAAACATTGCCTCGCACATGCCACTACTTGCAAGGAGAATTGGGATGATTTGCCATGGAAAACAAGTAAAAAGATGAGCTGGCATGCGTGGCAGTGGCTTTGACACGCCACTGCCCATGCTCTAAATGTACCCTTTATGAGAATTAGTTTAAAATGTCACATTAGTTTTTTAAATGATGTGTCATTATTTCATGTCAAAAATGTCCATCTTTTAGATATTTTATACACCTTGTCATTATTTCTTTCATAACTAATAGGAGACAATTGGGGAAAAAAGTTATACCTAAATTTTAAAGGTTTCTCCAGTATTTATCCGAACAATACGCTGAAAAAAGTTAAATTGAGCTATAATACTCATCTGGTTTAGAGGGAATGTAAGTTGTCTTGAGAACTTACAAGAACTTCATACTTTTGTTTGCAATTGCCAAGATTCTAATTCAAAGTTAACATATTGTGGCACTGCCCTCTTAGCCAATTGAACTACGGCCCAAACATTGCATAAACTTTGTGAAAAGGTCCTTATTTCAAATATGGACTTTATTAGGACCATGTAAGCATCATTCTATACAAAATACTCTCTTTGTTCTTAAAAATATTTCTAATTTCTTTTTTTGGTCCAAAAATCTCTTTTTTTCTATAAAAATTCAAGTTTAACTCCTACTAATTATTCATAGCCTACTAATCACATCCTGCTTACTCACGAATAGTCTACCATCAGAGTATTCACAATGGCAAGGCAATGTCTTGCCTTGCCTAGTCATATCAGCAAATATCACCGAAATTATGATATTACATGACCATTTCACCCCACTTTTCATTCCATGTGCACGACATGACTCTCCCATATTTTATTTTTTTTAATATCTTTAATTTTTGAAAAAAACATTTTTTAAAAGGAGTAGACATATTTTAATAATAAAATAGAGGTGTAAAATAATTTTAATGATTAAAAATCATTAAAAAGTACAAAAATAGACAAAAACAATGACATGTCATTGTATGTTATGACACTCCACTCACTTGCCACATGGTGACTAGATTAATTTTTATTGATTGAAATATTCCATGTCACCGTGTAGCATATCATTTTTGCCTTGCTATTGTTAATGCTCTCATATCCTGTTTGTAGTCATCACTCTGAGAGTAAATTGAAAAAGTCAATACAAAAATATTTTTTCGTTAAATCTCATAAAAATTCAAATAAAAAAAGTATTTAGGAACGAATGGAGTAATACATACTTCTATTGACTATTTTTCACCTTGCAATTTATAGCTTTTATTTTTTTGTATCTTATATGATTTTCAATTAGACCATCACTTTTTACTTTTGAGATCAAATCAAAATCCACACTAATAACCGGGATTTAGACAATGGGTAAAGAATTTTTGTATATGTATAATTATTTTCGTTGTATTGGTTTTACATGGAGAATGAGTCGCCTTTGAATTTTCAGTTACTCCGTAAATGCAAAGAAATTGAAAAAAAAGGGAAGCAAAAAAAAAATGAAAATTCAATAAAGAAAAAGTAATTAACTTTTCCAAGCGTAGACCAGCAAAGAGAACCCTGTGGGGCCCTTGAGTTCGTTCTCCTCTGTGCTGGCCCACTCCATCACAGAACTACAGCTGGACGACGCCGACGACAGGGACGCCGACGTCGACGAGCTCCTCGCCGTCCTCAGCAGCCCCTTCTTCATCATCTTCGTCTCGAACCCGAACCCGCAGCTGTTCGCCGCTTTCCCGGCGGCGCGTGAGTGGCACTCGCCTTCCTCCTCGAATCTGAACATGAACAGCGCGTAGCCGTCGTCGTCGTCCTCGAACAGCCAGTTGTGGACGTCCCAGGAGACGTGGATCGGGAACCCCTCCACTTCGATTCTCTCGTTGCCTCTGAATTTCCACCTCAAATGCTTGATTTGGAGGACCCTTTTGCCGTCCACGTAGAAATACAGTCTCGGGTCGTCGCCGGAGATCCGGCACTCTATGCAAATGTTCCGGTCCTTTCCGCCGACGGAGGCCTCGGTGACGTATACTCTGCTCCCGTAGACGTGTTCTCTTTTCAGCACCATCACTTGGCCGGCGCCGGTCTCCGGATTTCGTGCCCTAGTTTTGGAGTAGGCTTCTCTGTGGAGGTCTCCGACGAGGAGGACGATTTCGCCGTCGATGACGACGGCAATGTAGAATCCGGATCTGGGTTCGGGTCCTAACCCGAATTTGGCTCTCGACAGATCCCAGAAGATGTGGGCATTCTTGATTTTTCCGCCGCAGCGGATTTGGAGCTTTTTGGATCCCTGTTTTTTCCAGAAGACGAAGGGCTTGATGTGGAGGTGGAACGACGGGGCGGCGGCGGCCGACGGCTTACCAAGCACGTCGTCTTCCTCCGCCGCCGCGGCGGACGGGGAATCGTCCAGGGCGAAATGGAGGTGGAAAGACCGGCCGAGCATGCTCCGGGACCAAGTGACGGCGAAAACGCCCAACTCAGTATGGTAAAGCGAGGTGGCAAGCGTCGGAGCTGCCGGGAACGGCGGCGCCACCTTCGATGACCGATTTCCGCCGCCGCCGCCGCCGGCGGAGCTACTTGGGCGAAAACAAGAAGGAGAAGGGAAATGGGAAGAATGGTGCTGCTTGGCTAACATCTTACCCAGAACCCCAGAAAGCAGAGATTGATTTAAGATAGGAAAAAATTGAGAGATTTTATATGGTGGGAAGAAGAAGATGAAGGAGAAGATAGACCAGAGAAAACTCAAAGTTTTATAATCATAAATTTGACTTTGTAAACCCATTTATGACTTCACTTATACCCATTTTGGTATGCACTTGTTTGAAGGGGTTAATTGCACTCAACTTCCATGTAACTCCTCAAAATCAACTTCCATTTTGGTATGCACTCCGTCCTCCAGTTTTTGTCCACTTTTGACTTTTGGAACTGTTCATCTAAGCACTTTGACTCATCAAATTCTCTCAATGTATAAGCCTAAATATAGTCATGTGTGATCTTGTTTGATTTGTCTTAACATATAGATTATTAATATATAATTTTTATAATTTTTTAATATGCAAATTACAAGATAAAATGGATTAAAGAAGTGCATTGGATGGTATGTAAAAATGAAAATGAACAAATACTCTGGGACGGAGGAAGTAATATTTAAAATTTAATAAAAGTAATGAGTATAAATTTTGAAATCTAGAATTAAATTATTTTAAGAGACATAAAGTATAGAATAATTGTTATAAATGATACTCCCTCAGTCCGGAAATATTCTTCCCATTTTCCTTTTTGGTCCGTCCGGAAATATTCTTCTCATTTCCTTTTTTAGTATACTTTTTAAGGCTAAATATCAATAATAACTTTCTATTTTATCACAAATATACTTTTTAGTACTTTTTTAATAATAAAAGGAGATTTAAAAGTTTATAGTTTGTGCATTTTTGAAAATTTTACATTTTTTTTCCTATTCCTTAATAAGCGTGTCAAGTCAACACGGAAAGAACATATACGGACGGAGGGAGTACGTAGTAGTCTAGTAGATGGGTGATTGACGATGGAATTGGTCAACACCGAGTGGACAATGAAGATGGAAGGCGGTGACTCGAGTGGTGTGCGTTTGATATTTTTCAAATTCAGAAAATATCAAAACTCTTCATTTTATAGAATTTTGGTATATAGAGATATCAAATTTGAAACATGTTTCATACTTTCACCAAACATTATAAAAGAATTTGAAAATCCGGATATATCATTAACTATATTTCTTTTGCTAACCAAAAGACACTTGAGCTTTGTTTGTTTAAGATGAAAGTGAAAGAAAAATGAAAGAAAAGGTAAATAGAATAAAAGTTTAATTTTTATTATGCTGAAAAAATAAAAAATCTTTTTCATAAATAATTATATAATTTATTGATTTAAAAAATGTTTATCTTAGTTTGATTTATATGAAGGTTCACCATTGATTATCGTCAACGGAAGATGTTGTCATAAAAGATCTAAGAGTAAAAAAGTATGAAGATATCAAAATAAGAGTTCTAAGTCTTTTAAGACTAAAACATGAGTGAAAAGACAGTGTGATGTAAGAGTGTTGTTAGTGTGATGAAAAAATGATGATACTGTAATATGACAGTGTGATCAGTCAACCAACGACAGTTTACCGGTCAACGTCGGGGATCGTAGACGACACTCTAGTGGCCGGTGTTCTAGTTATCATTGGTGAGCTCTCGCCTTAACTTGGTGAGCTTTTCAGTTATTGTGGTGAGCTTTTATCCTGCACTTATTAAGCTTTCTAGTTAAACGTGGTGAGATTTTATTTTATACGGAGTATTTGCTAAGTTTTTGCCTTGTACTTGGTGAGCTTCCTACACATAATTGGTGAGCCTTTTATAGTTATATTTGGTAAGCTTTCATCTTGTACTTGTTGAACTTTCTAATTAAACGTGCTGAGCATTCTAGTTATAGTTGTTGAACTTTTTAATTATACTTGGTGAACTTTCTAGTTATATTTGATGAGTTTTCTTGTTATATTTTGTAAGCTTTATACCTGTAGTTGCTAAGCTTTCTAGGTATATTTTGTGGGCTTTCACCTTGTGCTTGGTGAGCTTTCACTTAATTGTGGTGAGCTTTCTACTTATAGTTGTTGAACTTTCTAGTTATATTTGGTGAGTTTTTACTTTGTACTTGTTGAGCTTTCTAGTAAAATGTGGTGAGATTTCTGGTTATATTTGGTGAGTTCTCGTCTTCTACTTGATGAGCTTTATATATATTTAGTGAGCTTTCGTTGTTTACTTGGTGAGTTTTCTAGTTCTATTAGGTGAGCTTTCTGCCTTGTACTTGTTGAGCTTTCTAGTTAAGCGTGGTGAGTATTTTACTTATAGTTGGTGAGCAATCTAATTATATTTAGTCTTGAAAAAATTTAGGATTCATATTTTGGTTTTTTTTCATACTTTTTTCCTCTTGTTCGGAGAGTTCTCCCTTTTGTTATCTCATGTTGAATGGAAAAGTTAAAAGAGCGATGAAAAGTTAAATTTTACTCAATTGTTCATAGGGTTGAATATGTGTTTAGTTCCTGTAAAATAAATAACTTTTATTTTTCGCTCATGTAAAAAAAATAAAGTCATTTTACAAAATTTTTTATTTTGAAAATGATCTTTAATTGTAGTGAGTACCTCTAATTAGTTGATATAACCATTTATTTCATACTCAATATGTGCAAAGTAGTTCTGTCATATTTCCAAAGTACTCCGTAGTTGGGAACTAGAGATGTGCAATTAATAAGAATACAATTTAGAGCATGAAAAAATGTGTCGGAAGTAGTAGAAATGCAAGAATATGATATTTAGTATGAATAATTTTATCTAATTAATCTACCCCACAAGTTTTATTTCATTATAGATCAAAGGTCACTTTTTGTTGACAATAAAAAGTTAAAATTAGACAAATAATATCGGATGGAAGAAGTAATATAATAAAATGATTACTGATAAAGAAGTACTCCGTATTAATAAAGGTTTTAAAAAATCATTTCCTTCCAATATGTTTTCTTTTTCTTCCGCTTCTGTACTCAAACGAAAAATGATATATTATCTTTTTCTTCCTATTTTTCTTTGATTATCCAAACCTACCTATAGAAATTCAAAATCATTATAATTTCTTTTCATTCTTTTTTTTCCTTTCCACTTTCTCAACATACATAGTGTAAAGATTTATTTTATAATATTAGAAGAAGAAAGTAGACTAGTAGGGATATACTACCTCCGTCCCAGAGTTCAGTTTTGCTTTTTATAGTTAAAATTGATAAAGCTTGACTATGAATTATATAAAATTTATATTAAATATTGATACAATAATATATTTATTTGATTTATCTTAAAAAAAATTCTCAAAATGTTATGTTATCCAATTGATATACCATGTAATTTTTATTTAATTATAAGTCAAAGATCGATTCTATTTAATTGTAAAAAATTAAAACTAGACAAATACTTTGAGATAAAAAAGGTAAAAGCTAAAAAGAAACTGATAGTTAAAGATAAAAGGGAGACATGAAAAGTTTAAAGTTTTGCCTCAAGAAAATAATTACCAGAGACCTACTTATGTTGAATCAATAGAGTAATTTTTAAAATTGAAATTAGAGGATTTTCATATTTAGTCTTCTATTACCAAATATTATTACGATTATGATTCTTTGCTATGGACATGTTTTTTAAGATAATCTTTTATTTGACATTTGTTTATGTTGATTTTAAATTAAGTGCTAAAAATATAATTTTACATCAACTCTAGGTCCGACTATGTATTATGCTTGGGCGCGGACTTGGATTCCGACAAGTGATGACAACTATGGACTATAATTGTGGAAGGGGGCGATTCTAGCGGCAAACAACACATCAATAGTATCCTCTATCATTGGCTATGGCAAGAACGATGTTGGGTCCATCTGAAATTACATTTTAGCTCTCGATTTAATACCAAAATATCCCAATAGGGGGGGGGGGCAATATTTGTCAAAAAATGACATTTTTCAAAAAGAAAAGAAAATGCAGCTTAAAGTGGAGGTATATAAATTAAAAGCACTACAAGACATTAAAGAAACAGGAGGTCCAAACATTTATGTATGAGAAACAAAGAGAACCTGGGCTTGGATGCTGCTAGTTCTTGACGAAGCGCTGAAGAGCGCGCGGAAGGGTAATGTCGTCATTTCCGGCGTTTGTCGCCATTGACAACCTCTTCTGCTTCTTCTTGGTCACCACACCATCTTTCATCTTCTCTTCAATGAATGGCCTCTTTGCCCTCACAACAGCCTCCTGCTTCTTCCCCGCCACTCTGCTCGGTTTGCTTCTCCCTTTGGTTTTCTTCTTCTGCCCGCCTCTCTTGGCGTCCTTGACGGCGTTTTCCATCGCCGCCTCCCTCTCCTCCTTCCTCCTCCCCTTCTCGGCGGCACTATTACTGCTCTTGACTGTCCCAATCTTTGTGGGGTCCAGCATGATCGTCTCGGGTGGGAGCTTGTCGAGGAGCAGCCGAATCTCCTTCTCCCTCCTCTGTTTCGGCGTTTCGTACGGGTTCGCCACCCACGAGTCGAAATTGGGCTCGCCCGACCCGGGAATCAAGACCGAAGACCAGCCCGAGGAGTGCCCGATGGCCAACACGTCCTCGTACGGTCGGAACATCAGTTTCTGTGTTTGGTACCCTTTGGCCATAGAGTGTGTCATGTAACGGGTGAAGTTCTGGTGGGACCCGGAGAAGTCGCCGTAGATTTGGACGAAAGATCCCGCTGAGCTGGCTAGGAGGCCCTTCTGGCTGAAGTCCAGGGTCTTGGCTTGGCCATGTAACGTTTGGACGGCTTCATACTTCCTCAAGTCCCAAATCTTTATCTTCCTATCCATGCCGGAGGTCGCCATTAGATGGCCATTGGTGTGGAAGGCTAGGGCAGTGACCGGACCGTAATGACAGAGCATCTTCACAAGGGGGGCAGCGCTCGTGGGCTTCCACATGCTGACCGTCCCGCAAGGATGCCCGACGGTTATCACACTGTTGAAGGGATTGGCTCTCATCACACCGGTACGACCAAGGCCGGTTCGGTAATTTCCAATCATCTCCCCTGTGGTTGTATCCTGGTAATGGAGCTGACCAAATTTGTTTATTGATGCCAATAGGAAATGGTTCTTTAAAAATTGGAGCTTTAGCACAGAACCATGCTCCTGCAAGAAACAAGTAGAATTAAGTTTTACATGTTTCTCTATTTTAAAAAAAACCAATGTG